AGCTCACAACTGGAACAAATACAGGCAGAATTCTTGTGGCATTTGAGAAAAAGGTTCATGATGAGATATGCGTATCTGGAAGTGCTCACAAAAGTGATAGCTGGAACAACAACGGGGAAAGCAAAGGAAAAGCAGGGATCCTGCCCAAAAGAAAGGATCCTGTGAAAGAAAGGAAAAGCATCTAGGAAGAGATACGTGCCAATCAGTTCCCTGAATCAGCAACTAGGTCACTCGGAGAATGACAAAGCCTGCAGAACCTTTCTCCAGGAGACAAGAGAGGTAAAGCGTTTGCTAGTACTGGTCTTTGGTATACATGGAATAGTTCTGCTTGTGGGCTGTAACTGAGGATTCTGTGATGCATTGAATGTATTAAATTAAAACACATTGAATACATTGAAAAATGCATCAGATACATTAAACTGAAATTGGCAGGAGACCTAGTCATGGGTGTACAATAATTAAAATGGTTGTAGAAGTTGAGGTGCACTAAATACTTGAATATACTCGTATTTGTTATAGATCTTTCCTTTACTCCTGCAAAGGGAGATTTATAATTCTTATATTATGCCAGACCAAGAGAAGCCTGAACCACATTTCACAATTTATTTAGCCAATTGCACATACTTTTTCTCTGAAGGGTTGAAGATGGGGTACATTTCCCCTCCCATCCTGTATTTCTCCACTCTATGACAGTGACATGATAACATGGCCTTATCAATTTCAACAGAGTTGGCTACTTTAAACAGCTGAGTTTGGGATAAAACATACTGTGCCTGAGCCCCTATCACAGTCCAAGTGAAGAGGAGATTAACAAGGCATGAGCTTTTAGCAGAAAAACCCAGTTCCCCAAATTGCAAGTCAGGTACCCACTAACGGAAGATGGCTAACTGGGCTTCCGTGGCCTAAAGGCTACACAGGAAAAGGACTATCTCCAAAGCATCAGGGCCTAACAGATGTTCAGCTGCAGAAAGGAAAACCTACATTTTTACGCTCAGAAACAAGCGTATTACATACAAAAGCAGTTTGGCTGGTATCCAGGACTCGATGAGGGGTGTCAGTTAACCCCACACCACTTACTACACTCTGGAGTTGGCCAGATCGGTATTTTACAGCCTGTATTTTTTGTGCCATCCAGAGACTAGATGACAGTAAATAAGACATTAAACTAGAATCTTGAGAGATGGCTTTCCCAAATGGGAACTGACCCTGGTCTCACATAAGAGAATTAAGAATTAAGGACTTAAAATATTAGTCACATATGCTGTCAAAAGAACCAGCTTTAGCCCCACATGTTTACTCAACTGAAGGATCCAGTGCTATAAAACTACACACACATCTGCCATTCTGTACTCATGTTAGCCATCAACTGAAGAGTCAGCATTTCTCTTTAGCAGCTAAATCCTATGCCAACAATAACCAGGACTTTCTCAACCTCTGCAAGGCTTCCTCCGCTGGATTGACAGCCTCTGAAGTACGAGTTATTAATATGAGGCTTCAGGACTACTGGGAGTCCATGGATGGGTTTTAGAGGATCCCTAAATCTCCCAAAATTACATGGCCAATGTACATGTTCCTATATATGGGAGGTCTTCAGTTCTCATCAAATTCTCAAAGGAATTTGTGACCAAAAAAAAAAGTGATTAGGAAAAATTGCCGTAAGGGTAAGCTGATCAGTCTGTGAACCTGTTAAGTTGGGAACAGGACAATCAGCAGGTGCCTGTGGAAGGAGATCTGATTTCAGGGGTCAGACCCTCGCCCATCTAACAAACCCTGAGTTGCACCCCCAGTGCTAAGAAGGGCTGTTGATTTATCCTTGTTTTATCATGTCATGTCCCAAGACACTAATGACCCTGGTGACAGGGAATGTGAAAACGTTTTTAAAGTAAAAGAATCATCTTCCGTGTAAAGTTGGAAGAACCCATGATATTAAAGGCTATTTGAGAGCTTATTACCATCACTAAATTCTTCCAAAGCCAAGCGAAGTCAATAATGTCAGTACCATGGCTTCTGCTACGGTGATGTCGTTTACTTTCGGTATGTTTATTTTGTGACATATTGTTGTTATGGCATATGTCTAATTGTTACTGCTATTTTGAATGCTAAAGTTCTATATTTAAAGTACTACATTTCATAAAAAATTAGATCTTCTTTCCTACTTTAACATAATGTTATCATACACTAAGGCCCAAAATGTTTTCTGGATGAAGCACCTCATATTCTACTCAAGTTTTTTTCTTAATTACTAAGAAAAAGTGGTTTGAAATAAAATGTTTCTGGGCTCTGGGTTCTCCCTATGATCATTTCTCTCTATCCATTTGTAGTTCCCCCATTCACAGCTACCTTCAGTTGGTCCAAATTTAACTGTTTAACTGTGGAAGGGAATTTTGAGGTACAAATAATATTTCTTTAAGGAGTATCATAAGTATAAGTACAGCCTCCTGTTTTTAGTTTGTGTCTACAAATTTAACATATTTAACTTGTCCCTTTTGGGCTTTCTCTGTTGTCACACCCCGTTTATATTATAAGCCCTTACATCCTTAACCTCAAGGTGAAAGCCTCATCCCCAACACACACACACACACACACACACACACACACACTTACACAAATATACATTCCCTGGGCCAAGCCAAACTACTACCTTCAAAGCTTCTCGAAGTATGATCTGCAGACCACTTGTATCAGAATCTTTATGGGATGGGAAGACTTGTTAACAGCACATATTCCTGCCAACCCCCAGACCAACTGGATCAGAATGCATGGAGGTGGAACCTTGTGAACTGCATTTGTTAACATATTCCCCATCCACCCAGATGACGCCTAAACTCACTAAAATTTGAGAACCCATGATTGAGAAGAGCCATTTCCTCTCTGATTTGAACCCTATTGTTTTTTATTCTAAGTGGAACCATTTTCACAACCATCTTGCTCATTCATGTCTGAGATCAGCATCTTCCTGTATTTTCCTAGGAAATGTTCTCTCCTCTATCTCTGGCCTTTGTTGGTAGCTCTTCTGTGGGCTATTTCTAAGCCTCTGCAATCTAGGTTAACAAGTCCTCAGTACCCAGCCAGTCACTTCTTCCTTGTTCCTGCACTGGCCTAAAGAAACCCCCATAGCACCCACCACCCCAGGCTGACTTGATCCAAACTCCCTTCACAACACCCTGCCCAGGGATTCACAGAACACATCTGCCTGTCAAAGGCAAGCCTCTACCTGGTCCATAAAGCTGCTCATAGCCTTCCCCTTAAATGTAAAACTTCTTAAGGTCCCCTATATACAGGCTTTCTCCACATTTTTTAAACTACACATATCACTACTATAAAAAATGAAGTAAAACCAAAATTGTATTTTACCATTCTAAAACATCAAATGCTTTCATTTTTTATCTTCACATTTAATACTCATTCATAACAAAACCACAATGTTAAGTGAAATTTTTAACCCTGATTTCCTAATTTAACACCATGTCAAATATATTTACATAACTACCATAACTATGACCTTTAATAACTACAAAATATTCCATGGAATTAATGCTGCCAGAATCACTATTGCTTGCATAGGTTATTCTAAGATTTTGCTGTTATAAATGATAATACGGTGAATGTATTCGTGCATGTTATTTTCTCCTTCTTTGAATTATTTATTTAGAATAAATTCCCAGAGAGACTTAATGGATCAAAGTATATGAGTATTTTAATGGCTCTTGACACATATTGCCAAATTGCCATATTTTACAGTTTCTTGGTAATATGCTGGTAAATGTTTAACAGGCTTTCTTCCAAAAGAAAATATGAAGGGCCAATTTCCATGGTGTAAATACTCCTACCATGGCCAGTTTCAAGCTACCAACATTGCATCACTGAATGCAACGTTGGAAAAAGATGCATACCATTACATAATATTTCTATCCTACAGATGAATTGGAGTAAATAACTTCAAGAGCATAGATAATAGTAAAATGTAGTAAATAATTAGAAAGTAATGAGTTTTGAGTATTTCTTACCTTTATTTTTAATATAACTTATTACTGTGAGTTATATAATTTAATTTTAATAAATGTGTTTAAAAACTGGCTTTCAAGCTTTCTGGAAATTTTATAATCAGCTATTGCAAGCAAATATAGGCAGGTTCTCACATACCACAGATTATTCGATACTTTGCAAGCACATGTCTTTTTTTTTTTTTATTGAAGCCATTGAAAATTCACCTCATTCCCAACTGTGTCACAAACAATAACCATGCTTTTAGGTTAGCAGATTATGCAAACGCATAATGACTATATAATACAAATAATAGAGCAGAAGGTCTATCTGGGTCAATTAATTTTGTCTACCCTCCTCCAATTTGGGCAATACACCCTTCATGCATTCATCTTACTAGCATTTTTCCATGGAGTCACTTATAGAAACTACTTGATCATTTATTTACTCAAGCAATGACTGAATGGATAAGTACAGTTCTCATGGCAAATGTGATGAGAATTATACTATAGATTACTTAACTACACTCTTTCTTTTTTTTTTCTTTTCTACGAAATGGGGAAGAGGTCACCGCTGACTTCGGTTTTACAAGAAACTAAGTGTAGAGATAAGAAAGCTACCACTAATGCTCTAAGAAGAAATTGAGCATTCCGCAATGCTTGAAATTTTCTTCTGAAGGTAATTCATTAGTATTCTGCTTTACTGGAAAAACGAAATGGGAGATTTGGCACTTTCTCCACTGAAATCAAATTCCTTTGGGCTCTCCCTCAGTAATAATGAAAAGCCTCTATTTGTATATTTCACTTCAGAATTTTTAAAGTGGCACCCTACATATGTGTGTTAAAATGTAAATATGGTTGACAAAAACTCTAAACATGCTCACACCTTGACTCAGTCATCCCACTCCCAGGAATTCTCCTACGAAATAAGTTCAAAACAAAGGAAAATACTTTTGTGTGACCATATTAATCACAATAGAGGAAAGGCCATTTTCCCTCAGCGCTTACTCAACTTACCATCTCGGTGCTCTGGGGCCTGGTAGTAGAGTTCTGGATTTAATAACTTTCAAATGCTTACTTGTAGAACAATTGCTTCCAAGTCACCTAGGGGTAAAGGATTTATATTTATTATCACATGGATTCCTGGACCTCACTTCAGGGCTGGGATGTGATACATGAAAACGGCTAGTTTTTCAAAGCTCCCAGTGGTTTTAACGTCCAGCCAACTTTAAGAACTACCATTCTGGACCAGAACCAGACAAATCAAATTGTCTCTGAACAACTGTCCACATCCAGGGGACAGAATGACATCTTCTTATGCAAATTGTCAAGAAGTTGCTCAGGGCCTTTAAACAGCTGCTAGAGTCAAATGACAAAAGAGCTAGGAGGAGCCTTTGTTTCTGGCACCCCTATTTGACCTTCCCATCTCTCCCTGCCCATCCCAGCACCCAGTCGTGCCACTGTGCCTTCCAACATGCTCTGCTTTGGCACCCATCCTAACTTGTGTCCACCCCTTTCCACACACAAAGCCTAAACTTTCCTCCCTTATATTATCAGTAGGGCTCTAGAAGAAACCCAGTGTTACTACTTGACCAAAGTAATCTGCATGTATAATTGAGAACCCCCTGCATAATGAACATAAAAGCCATATTTGCATTTTTTTAAAGGGGATTTACTAACCCCAAAGAATCTCTAATCTGGACAGTGGAACCAGAAAGCAAGATGCTTTCTAATCTTGGCTTTCATTCAGACCCAAGCATCTGGAACCCAAATAAGCACTTTGGGTACTCATTGTCAAAATGGTCCCAACTCCTGAATAGAAATGGATTTTTTGCTGTGCCTTGCTAAGCACTAAAATTAAAATATAATAAAATTAAATATTTAATTTAAGCTGGCTATGGAAGAAGAGTCACCCTCTCTGCCTTTATTTCCAAGCACCGCTGTAATTCCACCCAAAGCATTCAGACAGCATCAGCCACCAGTGCCCAAAATAACATGGCAGTCACTCAGAGAGTGACTTATAAGTCTGATAATCTGATATGGAAAGGCTTAAAGTATCAATTTCTAAATGTTTTCTCTTTGTCACATGCACTATTACTATAAAACATCCAACCATGTACCAATTCCATAGTTGGTGCTCAGAAAATACAATGGCCAAGCCTCTGTCCGTCAGCCCCATTTACTATACAGATATCTCATTCAATGGCCAGGGTCCATATCATTCGAGTGTCCCCAGCCAAGTCCTTAATAAGAATCATAAAATGAGAGTTTATTTTATGCCAGGCACTAGGCTAAATGTTTTATATATTTTTATTTCATTTTATCCCTACAACAATTCTCTGAAGTATTTTCAGTTATTATTGAACTTAACAGATTTTTTTTTTAATCTGAAAATTGAAGAAGTTAAGTAACGTGTCTGATATTCCCACAACTCAGAAGCAATAACTCCAGGCTGCAACACAAGGCAACCTGGTGCCAAAGTCTGAGTTCTTATTCACCATTCTATAATTCTGTTATTATGTGGACACTGATATTTCATGGCGCTGCAAATCATTAGGAAAAGAACAGCAGCAAATCCATAATACCTCATTCAGACATGCAAAGGCAGTAACACATATTTCATGGAATTTTTGAACTGGCTTTTGAAGAATAGAGACTTGCTTGTAATCAGTCAACCAACTCATTCTCCCACTTTAATACTGAATGATTTAAGGGCCTCCTTAAAATGTAGTAACCAGAAATGGCGATCTTACAGGTACCGCACACCACACAACCTTTTCTCTACATAAATGGTGTACTAAGGGAAGATACATATAAGGGAAGATACTAAGGGTAGAACAAGTGGAGGACACAGATATATAGATGCATAAAGCAGCCCCAAGGATAAGAAGCAAACATCTCCAGGCTCTCTCTCTCACGCAGAATTCTATTGGAGCTGTGAACGCTGAGAAAAAGGAACCTAACGGCATGGGAAGACTAGAAAACTACTGAATGAAGTCTATTCTCCTCAGCAGCCTCACAAGGTCCTCCATATCCTGTCAACACCTTAATTTTCCAAGCTTATTTCCTACCAATGTGTAAAACAGAACTTCCTTCTTTTCTTGGGCCAGTCTCCTCAACTAGGCTAGTCATCTCCAAGTCAGTCTCACCTGTGCCCTTGCCCACACAATCTTCCCAGTGTGGATAAACCTTCTACTTCTACTCAAATTGTGTGTCTTCCCAAGACCCATGTCTTCCAGACTATTCCAGCTTACCCTCAAATCCTCTTCTTGGAACTCCTATAACTTTTACAGCCTATAGCACCCCATTTATCATTTAATTCCCATCTTGCACTGCTTCCTGAATTTTACCTCTTTCCACGACTACTAGATAATAAGGTCCTTCAAATATAATAAACATAAAGAATTCTTTATACTTCTCTTACGTCCTCCACAGCATCAGCTCAGAATTAATAAGTGATTGTTGACTACTTGTTGCTTACTTGAATATTTCAATGGCAGCTTTAATTTAGTAAAGCACCTAAAACTAGTGATTTCCCAAACTTTATTTAGGTATAGCCCAGGCAATTGACTGGTTCCTCATAGCATGTCTCCAAGTCAAATCACTTCAAAAACGAAATTTAATTTAATTTAAAATTATATACTTATACATGATATACCACTTTTAAAAAGAGGACTTCAGCATTGGCAATAGGTAAAACAAGCTAAGAATTTCAGATCTGAATCTACATCATTTCTATTTTGGTTCTGTTTCTTTTTGGAATTAAAAAAAAAATTTAACTCATATTTGTACAATTTAGGGGGTCTTTAGATATACTTCATCAAGCACAGGGTGATATATAAGCTACTCATTTAAAAAAATTTTCAATTACAGTTGGCATACAACATTATATTAGTTTCAGATGTACAATATAGTGATTAGACATTTATATACCTTACTAAGTGATCACCCCAATAAATCTAGTACCCATCTGACACCATATTAAACTACCCAAATATTTGAGCTCAGTTTTAGTCAGTAACAAGCATATCAATTCTCTAGGAAAATATCTGGAAAACCAAAAGCAAACTATTATAACATTTAATGCTTCAAAAACTATATGCATCTTGTTAGGACTCGGGGTGGGTAGCTGGATATCAGAACAACAACCCTTTCTCCCACAGTGCGGTTCCATACTTTACAACAGGTAGAACAGGGTAATTACTATGTTTAGCCTAGAGTAAAAGCTAAATAAAATTAGAAAGATTTCTTTTGATACCAAAGGAATATTTTTAAAGAAGCAAAAGTCTTACCTGTTGTAGAAGGCCAAAGACGTTTCTTGACACCAAAATGACGGACTCCGGAAGTCAAAGTTGTTCGGTACAGGTTAGTAAAAGCAAAAGCAGGCGAGCCCTTTCTTTCACTGTTATGATTTCCTTCTAAGATCAATCTTTCCTTCCTCTCTAAGAATATAACTGGTTCACATCGGAAGAGCTCAAAATGTAAAAGTTGAGCTGGTAGAGATTCCAGTCTAAGATGGTTGGGCTGAATGTGTGTGGTGACTGAGGCAGCAGGAACCATCCAAATGTGACAAAAGAGGTTAGCAAGTTCCTGTGCATAAGTCAGTTTCCTGTAGCTGGCTTCTCCAAAGAAGGGGTTTCATTTGTGTGGGTTTAAGGGTGTGTGTGTGAGGGGCCGGCTGAGTGGCGCATTGGTTAAGGGCGTGTGTGTGTGTGTGTGTGTGTGTGTGTGTGTGTGTGTGTACACGCACGTGCATTTCTCTCCATGACAATATGAAAACTTCCCCCCGATAAGAGGCAGAATAAGAACTTTGCTGCATGGCTGGATTTGTGTTTAATATAACGACCCTCCAGGGACCATTTTCCCTCCCCCATGCCTTCATGTCCCACCAGCAAATCACATATATAAAACTGAGGAAAGCAAGAGTGAAAAACCAAGATGACCCCTTATGGAAGTGAAATCAAGCAGAGCAGAAAAAAGCAGACTAGTCTTGGTTAATTTAAGCCTCGGAAAAAGCACCTTAAAACTTGATGAACAAGGAGGTGGGCAGTTTGGCTTGCTTTGCTTTATTAATAACTACAAAATAATCATTTGGAAAAAACAGACTCAGCCATAGCAAGAGCGCAAGCAGCTCTGCCAGGCATTTACCCTTTTATGGACCAGCACCTGCGCTGTGAGGGATGTGACTATGAGCTGTTTTCAGGTTCCTCAGAGTTTCATTACTTGCCTCCAAACACAAATTTACTTGTTTTGTCCTCCAGGGCAATCCAGGTGTAGAGACCATCTGCATTTAGGTTATGGCTAAATTGTCTAAACCAACAAATTTAACTTTCATGATGTGGTCACAATGCCCTGTGCCTAAAATCCCTGAATAATCATAAAGGCTACTGCCCAGCATGAAATCTTGGTCAAAGTACGTTCATGCCATAAGGATAAAGGCAACTCCAAGTCAACAAACATTTATAGAGCCCCTAATATGTGCAAGGTCCAGTGCTGGGTGCTGGGGTAGGGTGGGCAGGGTGGGGTAGGGTGGGGACACAGAGATGAGCGAGATGGAACATCTCATTCATAATGGTCAAAATCAAGTGAAGGAGAAAGACATGGACATAGAGGAGATGCTGTGAGTCAGGATCTTTTTAAGCTCTCACACAAAGAATCCTGGGACACAGGAGTCAGGTAAAAGCCAAGTGTATGCAGCCATTTTGCCAGTTCAAATAGCCACTGAACGTTGACATGGATTCTATCATAATCATCCAAGGAGCCTTGGCTGGCTTCCAGGAGGCCCCACAGACCAGTATGCATCATTCACGGGCCATCCTTGTCATTGCAGACTCATATGTGCCTCATACTGTGCACTGAAAAGCTCAAAGACCAAGACAGACATATTCCCTGCCCTCATAGCACCTATGTCCCAGTGTGCAGGAAACAAACAAAAACATTCAAATAAATGCAATAATTATAAATTATAATCACTATTACAAAGGAATCGGAAAAGAAGCTGAGCTGGAGAGCAAGACAATATCTACATCCTGGAGGTGGTCAAGAAGGGCCTTATTTGAGCAATTGACATTATTTGAGTAATTGACATTTAAGCTGAGACCTAAAGCCATGACTCTCACCCCTGGCTAAAAATTAAAATCATCTGAGAAGCTTTTAAAAGTACCAGTACTAAGACCTCACTCCACCCCCAAAGATTCTAGTTTAATTTATCTAGGTTGGGGCCTCGGCATCAATATAAACTCATTCTAATCATTCTAATGTAGTCACTACTACTCTAATAATGAGAAAGAGGAGCCTGAGGAGAGTAGGTGGAATGACATTCCAAACAGAGGCAACAGTAGGTGCAAAGGCCCTGAGGTGGGAAAATGCGTGGCATGTTTAAAGGAGTGAAAAGGACTAATGTGTCTGGTGTGTAGTGGTGGCAGGAATAAACAGTGCAAGATAAATATTCTCAGAGATAGACACACAATTACTAAGCCCATAAGAGACGCTTACATGAGCCCAACTGTCAATTTGTTAATGCTCAGTAAGAACTCAATCTGTCAGGGGAGATACTTGAGCCCTCTGACAAGCACATTAACTTCTAGAATATTATCCATGGAAAACCAGAATACCATCATGATATTATTAGGTAAGCAGAACATATGGCTGGTGGATACTTTACTTACCTCTGATTTGGGTTATTACAAGATTTAGGGCAGCTAATAAAAATACACATACTATATGAAGATAAAACAAAAGTTTTGAAAAGAAATGAAAGGGCCGGCCGAGTGGCTCAGTTGATTAATAGCTTGCTCAAGAGTGCAAGCAAGCTCTGAACAACAGTGTCACCAGTTCGATTCCTGTCCCAAGCTGAGCAGCCACTGAGCTGCCAGCAAGCAGCAGGATGGCTCAGCTAAAAAAAAAAAAAAAAGAAAGAAAAAGAAAGAAATGAAAATATAAGGCCAAAAGAAATGAAGACAAAAATTAAGCTAAAACCAGGAGTGAGGTTGATACAGAAAAATGTATGCGATGTGGTTCTAAGCTTTTAAGCTACCAGTATGAAGCGGCAAACACTACCACATAGAAAGTTGAGTGCCCATTGGATAAAAATAAGTTTATTGCACAGGATGGTCTTTCTGGTAGGATGTGCTGAAGAATTAATACACTATGTGCTGGGCAGCAACTGGACTTGGAGCTGAGCTTGCAGCCTCCACAACTAAGATTGAAGGACAACTTGACTTGGAGCTGATGGGTCCTGGAAAAACACGATGTTCCCCTTCCCCAATTCTTCAACACTGTTCCCATCCCCAATTCCCCAATAAAATCTTAAAAAACAAAAAAAAAATACACTATATGCTATCTCGGGACGCTGTTTTGATGTACCAATTTAATGCCGAAATGAAGACCAAATTCAGATATGCTTCAGACAATTCAAGATAAAAGAGTTTTTTCATCGGAGCTTCTAAAAGATTTGGGAGGACAAAGAATTGAAAATTGGGTGTACTTCCAGCTAGAGATCCAGTGGTTTTCTCAGTGTCCCAGTATCCCTTGAGAAAGCAGAGGAGTTGGGCAAGGACAGCATTCCCCCACCTCCAATAGAAGGTGAGACGAGACTCTGCCCTCTGGGAAACTAAGTGATAGGAACCACAAGCATGGTTTATACATTCAGGGCCTCAAGCCTTATACATTTTCTCCACAAAAGGGCCTACATACTCCAGGGTCAGGATAGATGAGGTGTGTCTCCAGGCCCAAGCACTCCCACCTCATCCAAGATGGTCCTGGGAAAGGCATTACCATGCCTGGTTGCAAGACTTCCCTTTCCCTCTTGGCTCCTTGCCTGACCAACCTTTCTCTTCTGATGGATTTGCTCTTGCTGTGGATGTAATTATAGTTTTCAGTGTTCGCATACAGTCAGGCTTTGTGTTTCCTCCTGCTCTTGAGGATGAGAAACAGTTTTTCTTACTATCTCTTACACACTTCTAATCGTTACATATAATTTATTCTCAGAGGGGATTTTCTTGGTGGGGGGTCGGAGGGGGTTGGGGAGAGTTAGCTTTTTAACTTTCTTCCCTTCATGGAAATCTCTCTTTTTGCTCTTCCATTTCGCTCTCTCTCTCTCTCTCTCTCCCTTCCTTTTCCCGCATCATCCTCATTCTTTTAACAGACAGGATTAGTGTAAAAGAAAGGAGAAAATGACTTCAAATACACGTATATATATTACACGCTTACAGACACACATACACAAACCCAAATATCTTGGTGTGTCACTTCTGATGCTGTATAATACAGCCTTGGGACAGAGGTGGGGGGAAATCCTGGAGAACTCAGTGTGGCGGGAAGGAAGAAAAGCTTAGGTGCGGAGTTCCTGGTAGGAACCAGACCCTTGTTATAAGCCATATCCCAGGAAACATTCCATAACAGCACCTTCCCCACTACAAGCTGGGATCAGCTGCCCTACCACGAGCTCCCACAGCCCCTTATGTTAACACTGCCACAGCGCTCACCAAACAGCCTTGTAACGTCCAGTGGAGAGGCCATCGAAGCCCAGGGCCTGGCCTTGCTCACTGGTGCATCTCAGACACTACATGTCACTCAAGAACCATTTGTTGAATGGTTCTCTCATCTAATCTTCACAATAGCCCTATGTCGTAAACATTTTTAAGTATATTTTATAGCCAACAAGACAGCTGATTTCATATAATTAATGAAATTCTATGGCCCACAAAAAGCAAAACAAAGATTCACCCTCTTTATCTATCCTGGATCTTCACACCACTATCTCCCCAAATTGAGAGCTGGGCCACTGTGGAGACAGGGGGTAGCCCGAGCCCCAAGGCCACAGTTCATTTCTGTCTCCTGAGAGCTCCTCCTCTGAGATTCCCAGGCAAACACAATCCGATAAAGTGAAAGACTTTCTTTCTCAAAAACACCTTCATTTGAAATGTCCTCTGATATGGAAGAAAAATAATTTATTTTCTCTGTAACACTCTCCTGAGAACAATGATCTCTTTTATTGAGGATTTTTAAATAATATGACAACTGCCTGTGTACCCTGAACTCACGCATAAGTGGTATCCTTGCTCATGACAAAGATTCCCTGCCCTTTATACCAGAAAGACCACTTAAAGACAATGGTAACTGTAATGAATAGTAAATCTTGGAACACTTGCCATATCAATTATTTAGTAAATTATTTCTACCCCGGATTAGTAAGAGGCCTCCTTTCTTACAGTCAGCTTATTAACTGAAATGATTTCGATTTAGTGGGTAGCTTCTAATGTTTACATAGACTCTCAGACCCTCATTTGTTATATGCCACCTAATAAAATAAAATATTTCAGTGGGTTCCGAAGATGGAAAATATGTACTAAAACCTTGTCTGAAGGCTTTGAGTTTCAAACCCAGGGCATTAGTCATAGTGTAATTATTCTTACCCAGCTCCCCACTAAGTGATGAACTGTATTAAACCAAAACATGCATTCCTTGTGATTGAGAGATTTCACGATGGGGATTATAAAATGTTAGCTCTTGGTAAGCCAAAGAGCTTAATTCTGATGTATAATACATCAGTGTAAAAATACATCCATATCAAATGCCTTTTAAAATTCTAAACATTAAAATAGCTTAGAAATGCCACAGGCTAGAAATCACATGAACGATTTCCTCCGTTTGCATTTTAATTCATTATAAACAACAGCGTCCCTAACCAGATGAGACTATCATTTCAAACATCTTGTAGCTGGCCTTTTTATAGCCATAACCATAAAAACATCACTTCCCCACTGTTACTCTCAATATCAATTTTCTCTTTAACTGTTTTAACATAACACAACACATTGCTTTTTGTTTCAGTGAATATTAGGTTCTCAGGATTCTCAACTGCCGTTTGTATCCTGGTTTGTTTGCCCTCTGTAACTATGTTCATCTAGCAAACATTTACATCCTGGTTCATTTTATTACAGAGCTATAATTCATAACAATGCAGGGTCTTGTTGCAGAAGATAGTAGCACCCAAAGTAATCATTCAAGCTGTGGCTCTAAAATTAAGGTACAACCTTTCTTTCTCTGTCAAAGCAAAGCTAATGTAATCAAAAAGCAATTCCCCTTGGTAGTTGGTGCACTTTTCCATTGCAGACATTAGTCAAAGCACTGCTAGAACATTTTCACAACATCCTTCAGGCAGTTTAATAAGCTATCGGTATCACTGCATTCTAGTCACAACTTGTTTTTGACACAAAATATAATCTAGGTTGGTTACCCACCTTATTCGCTGCGTGTAGCTCCCAAGGGCTGTCTCCCCAAATCAGATCCACCCGAAAAGGGCAAATATTTGCTATTATTGAAGAAAGTTAGAAGAATGGCCCTCAGGCTCTGAGAGCAAATCCAGAAGAGGAGTTTGAAGGAAGGGCAATATCTTTGGGTCCCATTCACGAACTCTCAGGGGACTCCTGTAAAGCACACAGTATTCGTTCTGATACAGAAATTCTGGTTAGTTTAAAAAAGAA